CAACAAAAAAATATAATAAAAAAATAAAAAAAATAATAACAAAAAGCAAACAATCAAAATAAACAAAGGAAAAATGCCAGCAGCCCTAAGAACGAAAAGCGACCGGGAGCCCTCTGGCAGGGAGCGAAGGAGCGGAGGACAAATCAGCTGTTCCCGGGATAATGGCCGCCCCGCTCGCTTCGTCTCGAGGGGGCGCCTGACTCAGCGGGCGTGACCTGCGAGGCTCTTCTCGTTACGCCCTCGACTCACTCGCTCACTCCACGGGCACACACTCAAACGCACGCGGAAATTGCGTGAGGAAGGATCGCGGAAACAGGATGAGACGAGGAAGGAAAGAAAAAAAAAAAAGAGAAAAATGATCTTATGTTGTCACCGGGTACATAGAGTTGAAAATAATGTAAAAATATATAAAATAAACTAAAAATAATTAAAAAATATTTATGTAAAGGCACACGCGACGCACTCATACGCTACTGCATAGGTACGAGGAGTGTTGACGCATTCACGTCACACACACACACACACACACACACACACACACACACACACACACACACACAACACACACAACACACACACACAAAAACTTCAAACAAGAACCCCACCTCAAACCAAAACCAAGCAGTCCAACCCAACACCCAACCACCGAACCCTAACCCCACCCACCCCATCCCAACCATCCAACGCCCACCCAACCCATCCCAACCCAACCCACCAACCCACCAACCCACCACCCAACCCCCCACCCCCCAACCCCCCCCCCCAAACATCAGGTATGAGATCATGGGCAGGTTCTTCCCCTCGGGCGATCGTCGTGCCCTCGACGTAGCAGGTGTGCTCGGCCGAAGATGGCGGACACTTTGTTGCAAGGAGGTCCACCACCTTGCCTGCTGCCCTGGGTGTCAAGCCCTGGGTGTCGAAGTACTGGGGGAAAAAGAAGGGATAAAGGGAGATGATAATTGATGAATGATGAAGGAGGATGATGATGATGATGATATTAATGATGATAATCATCATCATCATTTGATCATCATCATCATCATCATAATAATGATAATACTGATAATAATAATAATAATAATAATATTAATAAATAATAATAATAATAATAATATAATAATAATAATAACAACAACAGCATAACAATAAGAAGTATAATAATAATAATTAATAATAAAGATAAAAAACTAAAACTAATGCATTCAGAAAACAAAAAAATAATCCAAACCCTAAAATAAATATAAATAAAACAAACTTAAAAATAAAATATGCAAAAAAAAAAACTAAGCCCAAAACTACAATGACAAACGACAAAAACCAAAACAAAAATTAACACAAAACTAAACTATAAAACCACCACCAACAACAACAACAAAAATAATAATAAGTGAAAAAAATAAGAATAACAAATAAAATAAGAATAAAAAAAAAATAAAATAAAATAGAAAATAAAAATAAAAATAAGGAAATAAGATGAAAATAATATAAAAAATTAAAATAAATAAATAAATAATTAAAAAAAAAATCGTCCTTGCCCCCTGACCTAACCTGGATCTGAGCATGTGTAATAAAAATTAAAATGTAATAAAAATAAAAAAATAAGTAAAAAGAAATAAATATAAGTAAAAAGAAATAAAATAAGTAAAAAGAAATAAAAATAAGTAAAAGAATAAAATATAGTAAAAGAATAAAAATAAGTAAAAAGAAATAAAAATAATACGAATAACAATCAGAAATAAATAAATAAATATAATAAATAATAATAAGAAAAAAAAATGTCTTGACCCTGACCTACCCGGATTCTGAGCAGTAGTTCTCGTCAAGGTGAAGTTTTGTTGATCGCTCGTCGAGGAGTAGGCGAAGGCTCCGATCACCTTCAAGCCGAGTCGCTCCTTTCGCTCGCCCGTGATCGTCGCAGGAACCCAGGAGGCTGTTGCGGCCTGGCTCCTGGGGGCAGGAAGGGGGAGGAGGGGTGTTAGAAGAAGAAGATGGAAAAGAAAAAACGAAAAGGAACTGAAACAAAACGAAGAGAGAGAAGCAAAGAAGAGACAGACCGCGAGAGAAGCAGCAGCTAGACGTACATATGTGTACGCATATGTGCATTTTTTTTTTTTTATACTTTCACCTAGGTTTACACAAGCGTATACTTACATGGTACATATACAAGGTCACACGCAAGCAACACACAAGCATGCATATTATATTTCTGGTACGTTTGTTTCCCTAATGCTTTCTTCCCCACCCTTCTATCTTCCTCCTTCTCTCTCCTTCTTCTTCTTCTTCTCTCCTCCTCCTCGCTCCTCCTCCTCCTCCTCCTCCTCGCTTCTTCTTCTTCTCCTCCTCTTTCCCTCCCTTCCCTCCCTCCTTCTTCCTTATCTTCCTTCCTCCTCCTTCTCTCTCCTCCCACCTTCCTCCTCCTCCTGCATCCTCCCATTCCTTCTTCTTCTTTCTCTCTCCCTCCCCCCTCCCCCAACCTTCTTTCCCGTCCTCCCACTCCCCC